ATCCAGAGCGGTTTCCATGACAGCTCTCTGCATGCCCTGCAAGAGCAATTCGTAGTAACGGCCCCTGAATCTTCGAAAGACTGGACGACGAAGGCGAACCGACGAAACAAACCACCAACAAATCTGAGATACGATATATCGTATCCCAATAGCAACAAACCACACCGACGATGAAAGTGGTGTATAGTATGGGCTATCGTGACAAAAGAGTGGCACGGATGTGATACAACCGTAGAGAGCTGTGCAAACACCGACCCATGAAAACACCAACCCGAAAATCGTGATATTGACGTTGCATAGGAACACGACCAGGCCAGCGAAGAACAAGAACAGGGAAATGTGGAGAAGCGTGGGCAATACTTCAACCGCCCATGGAAGGAGAAACTTCTCTACCCCTTCAGCGAAGAACGCACGGATTCGTGCTCGCTTGTGTGGACTGTAACGTGGCTGAGTGGACTTAAGATATCTCCGTGCCCATTGCTGCAGCAGCGTCGCGAGCAGGGCACAGGTAAGACCGATGACCAGGCTCAAGAACCAAAGCGAGTTCACCCAAACGGCATAGTTTGGTGGAGAAAAGGGGGGCGGGGAAGCAGGGAGGGAACTAATATTGGATTGATTTGGGTCAGCAACAGTCCGATAGATGTTTGCAAGATAGAAATTGGAGGTGTCCTGTGGGTTTGGTCGAATGTCCTGAATCGACACCGAGATCAACGATGCGACAGCAGCAGAAAATAAGCCAGTCTATGCCAATGAGTCGACGTAAATGAAACACCCAACTAGAAGGTAGAGACGCACAAAGATGAGAATCCCATCAGCGTCCGCCTTCCAGTTTTCGGCCATCTTCTTATCTTCTTCCGTCGCCATTTCCAAATACATGGAGAAAATAGGACCGGAGCCATCAACGAAGTTAGGTACAACTTGTGATGCTTTATTAGACGCCAACTGGGGTAGGCCTACACCTGCCTCGGTTACGTTAACATCCTCGAGAGGATATTGGGACATTGAAATTATGGCGTTAATTAGCTATGGAAGTACAATGTGATGGGGTGGAAGGTGTTAAGGGTGACCGGTGACCGTCCCTTGGCTGGTTGTATACTGTAGGGCTGCCAGTGACTGAACTCCAAGCGCTCGACGCTCAACAGCTGTCACTTACGAAATTTAAGCGCCATCACAAGTTGTTTTGGGTCGACGACGAAGACGTTTCAGAGCATATTGTAAGCAGTATTCAATAAATGATATACTGTATACTGCAGGATTTTGGAGCCTGTCTTTCATCCGACTCGTTTTGGTTTGTTTAATCCGTGTTGCCAGTGCCATCGCTTCGGCGTTTCTCTTTCCTCGGCACCCCATCTCTGGCAACATCGTCAGATGTCTTCCTTGTTACGCGTGTTCATCAATAACACCGTTTCTACACTTCCTGTTTACTCTTCACAAGTTTCACAGACTCACACACAGCGACAGGCCATCATGGTAAACCTAGCATGTAAACCTGGGTAATCACTCGTACTTAGCTCATCTTCAAGCTTCAAGTCCAGGTCAGCGCCAGTTATCAATGTCATCGGCTATCACTCTCAGGCTGTATCACTCTCATCGTCGTCACTACCGTGTATGATCTTGTCTGTGGTGTCACATTCCTTGAGAATTGTTCCGATAAGTACCAACCGCAAATAGTCAATGCTCACGTACCTCATTTTTTCTCATTTCGGCCAAGCGGTCGTGAATTGACCCCAACCGATCGACATCGAAGACCACGGAGCAGACGATAACGTCGCTCGGGACATCCTTCAACTTCTGCATTCGCAACGTTTCTGCCTTCCTCTGACTATTCGTGACGAAGACGTGAAAACCACCGGCGGCGAGACTAGGATGAAACTTCACAACGGATGTCATCGAAGCCGTCACCCGGATTGTAAACGAGTCTTGGCCGAAGACAATGGTACCAGAAGTGCCAAAATTCTGGGCGGTGGGAAATAAACAGAAGGGGACTGTGCGATTGGCCGCTTCCCTCAAGCGATATCGCGCTATTAACAGAGAACAACTACCTTGGATCGGACACGGGTATCTAGATGGGCCAGACCCAGCGGCTATGCAAGGAAGAGGGCGAGGCGGGATGAGCAGACAAGCATGCGATAACATAACGTTCAAGCACGTAGCCCGTGGATGATCTGAACTACCTGTGCGTGCTTAGAGATTTGTAAAATTTATTTTCTCGGCAACCTCGGTCTTGATGGAGGTATATAGGATCACGTTTTGTGGCCACTTGTGCAACCGTGCGGCCTCTCCTTGCCCCATCCAAGCTCCTTGGTCAGACAGAAGCAATTTTGTGGGACTCCCTAAGTGGGCAAATCTATGTCAGAGAATGTTGGAATTTCCTGACAAAATCTTGCACAGCAGTTTTGACTCGGTCCACGTAACCTCCTTGAAAGTGATTGCCGGATATCTGCATACAGTTCCGCGCAGAAGGGCCCCACGCATTGTAAAGGCGTTGGAGCACCTTAAGGTCGTGCTTGAGTAGCCTTCTATTGAGAAACCCTTAAGCAAGGAAGGAGACTCTTACAAAACTCAGACGAACCCAAGGATGTTATCCCCTCGGATGAAAAGTAAGCCATAACATAGGTATTCGCTCCAACATAATTTGACCACTTCATCCAAATATCCGGCGATGGCAGTTACTTGAATGAACCGAACAACTTGTGCCTTTGCTGTGCTTAGGAGGACCGGAGATGGCGCCTTATTGTGTGGAGTAGAATCGGCGAGGGCCAAGGTCCCAATTGAAATTTCTGAGAAACTCCGGGGCCCGCCCTCATCGAAGTATAATGCTGCCAGACGATTGAAACGCGATAGAACTCCTTGTGCTTAACCAGCGAAGTAGTACATAAAATCAGAAAAGGCTCTTTCCTGGACCGCCATAATTAGCAGAAAGCTTACCAATGCCTGAGTGGCCGGTCACGATTATACTATCTCGTCGCGTCGGCAACCCCAGACCTAGCGAGTCAAAAGCGACGATGTATTCCTGGCGGAATAGATAACTTCTTCATCAAAACCGAGCCACGACAGGGCCAGGTCTTTGAGTTGCTCGGAGGGTAGATATTCCAACTAGACTTGCATATATTCCGACTCGTCTTTCTGCACGTGGGTCTTCTGCACTCTGTCTTGGAGAGATTGGCCCCACATAGCATAATATAGGTCCCATGCAGCTTGGAGCTCATTCGACGTAATGGCTGTGGGAAGGAGTCAGGGGTTACAACCCTGTGCCGACAACTGGGACCCACCACTAATAACAGAGGTGCTGGGTTCGCATGGCACCGTCTCTACCAAATTGGGTGATTTAATGCGTTCAGAATCATCTTTGGCCTTGCGTTTACTGATAATTGTTGCTTATTTGGCATAGGAAAGGAAGGTTCAGCGAGAAACACAAAACAAAATACTGAAACTTGCGGCACTGTGCTAGCAAATAAAACACACCACCGGGTAACATCACGCATAGTGAAGGCGACCTTTAGTTGGTCTATTCAGCCCATAGTTGTTGTATCTGTTCATTTGGTTGCATCACCCTGGCAATATCAAGTGCCCGCCACTCACGAATATTATGCTGGAGTGGTGGGACATTTATGTCGATCTAACAGAAGATATAAAGGTCCGAATGTTGGTTGGAATAGAGATGAAGAGTTTTGAAGAGACAGACCTGTAGAAGAGTTAATTCCATGTATTTGATACCGTTCCAATGCTGCTCTTATCGTGGATCATCATTCTCACATAAGAAATATCCTTGCCCTTGGAAATTGAAATCTTTTCAAGGGTGTCTGTGCCTTCAACAAAGAACCAGAGATCGTAATTGGCCATCAGAATACGTCGATGTCACCTGACTTATCATATTCATATGTTCGCCCTCGCCTCGCGTTGACTTGTAATCGAATCGACTGAAGCTGCTGAAGTATGCCATCTGCACTTGTCTTGATTGCTAGCGGGACAGAAGAGATGGAGTTGTCAGTTGACTATATCAGATTGACGTTGTTCGCTGATGTAAACCTCGTTCATCAGCACTATCGTGTATGATACCCTCATACGCGCAGGGGTGAAGTGCACATCCGCTCTCATCGCCCCGTCCGACCAGTCCGGAAACGATCAACCTCAACCGGTTGTCGCTCAGTGTTCTCGTGGGATCCGCATCGTACCCGATATCTTTCAGACTCAGCTCAGCGCGTCCAGTGTCGTATGTCTGTGATCTACGTCTCGAGATGTTCAACTCAACGTAACGCGGCGGTCACTTAAGGGAGAATATGACGCGATCATTGTTCCTGGCGGGGCGAAGGGTGCCGAGACCATGTCTCAATCTCCCCTCGTCCAGTCCTTGATCAAAGGCTTCTATGAGCAGGGAAAATACGTAGGGATGATTTGCGCTGGTACGACCATGATGCGATCATGGATATGGGCAGCCTTTATCAGAGCTTCGAAACAGGTAGCCTTGCCGCGAAAACCTCTCAGCTGCCACGTCAGCCCTTGACTTCTCATCCGTCAGTCAAGAAGGAACTTGATGAAGGTATATCTGCCATAATCTGCGTGGATGCTCGTTGCATGACCCCCGATAGACTTCGACTATCGCGAGGATCCAGTGGTGGTCTCCGGGAAGCTAATCACAAGGTACTTTGCACCTCATTTCGCTGACAGCGCTGACAAACATCCCCTCCCAGCCGCGGACCAGGTAGGTGTACCAAATCTTATCAGGGTGTGTCAGCCTGAGCCATTCTGACTTTACTAGGGACCGCCTTTCCTTTTGCATTCGCACTTGTCGAAGGCCTCTGTGGTGCACAGAAGCGTCTGGAAGTTGTGCACCCCATGGTTTTCCCTTCCGGAACTCCGTTGTAGGATGTTAAGTCTTTTCCCCCAGTTCGTCCAAAGTTGTATGTTACAGTGATAGCTGGGTTCGGGCAAATTATGAGCCCGCGATCTCCTACGGAGAAACAAAAATATGGGGTACATTGAGAAAAAAGGTTTCCTAATGACCACCGCAGGGGTCGAACCTGCAATCTCCTGATTTCGATAAATCGTAGTCAGACGCGATGCCATTTCGCCAGGCGGCCCATTGCAAAAATTGCATTTTTCACCTACGATATCTGAAGATCTGAAGAGCGGCTAACTGAGGAGTGGCTTTGTGACTTTACATCAACAGCCTCTAGTCCCGATGGTCGCTGCCGCGGCCATCGTAGCGGTCGACCAAAAGAATAAAGCCAGGAGTGAGTGAGTAGGCCTTCCGAGGTCTTCCAGGGCAGCGTGGCAACGATTGGGCGTTCTTGTCTTCTACCGGGTGATCTCGTCAACGCTGTCATAATTGGCCAATTTCTTTCGAATCCGTTCCTTCGTCCCCCACGGTTGTTGACAACTATATCCCTCCCGTTCCCAATCGTCTTAGCTATTTAATTTCTTGCGGCATCAAGCATCTGGATTCTGTATCATCCCGAAGATCTGCGGAGCTTTTAAAGCCTCTTCGTTTCATTCTCTCATTCACTATACCTTTGAGTTGTACGCAACGGGACGCAGGACGATTGAGCTGCTCGAGTAATTGTACGTTTACAAGGTATTCATTTCTGATCCCTTGCCATGTCGGCTCTTCCATTAAAATTGAGTTAGGCGGTTACAAGCATCACCGCCGTGACTTCGTTCACAGTGGCCACCCCGTTGCGCAGTCCTTTCTACCACCATAGCGGATTGGTTTAAGGTCCTTGTCGCGCCGGCGCAGACTCAGTGAGGTCAAATACAGTTGGGTCGAGTTCACCTCTAGTCTACAATTCCATCTTCTCTTCCCATCCTGGGTTCTTTTGCAGTAGAACGAACCCCTCCAATACGCTCGCGAACGGAATGAACTCTTCTGTTGCAAGTTCCGCACGCTCTGTCGTGGCCACTCGTACGGGTGTTTGGTACGTTTGGAAACCAGAGATGGTGCGCGGCTTCCCCGCTTGACCTACGACATCGACAGCCTGAGAGCCGGTATGTTAGAAGTATCCTAACTGAGTCAGTTGAGACTTACTGTGCCAACTCGGACGGTGACGGGCTTTGGCTCAAGATCGTCATCAAGAGTGATCAGGAATCGGGGGTACATAGCTGGAACAAGGAAGTAAAGCATCCAATGGTACTTATCCAATATGACTATGACAGAAGCAACGTCAACTCTCTGCACATGAACTGATTAAGTGAGTACTCACAGGCTTTCGCGTCCGTGAACGCTGTGAGTGTTGCAAGTAAACCAGCGATTGCAGTTTTGCTCAGAGTCGTCCGATCAAGGTAGAATGGGTTGATGCCAATTGTGCCTTTACCCATATGCACAAGGCCCTGGGCGATCCGTACCATGAAGAGGCAATCGGGTTCCTTGTGGTAGTAACCCGCGAGTTGTCGCAACATCTGAGCAAGGCGGGCATTATTCGTCCCTGCCCCGACTAGACCCATGGCAAATATCGCGTTAAGGGCGACAGCGAGGTCGTTGTCGTGACTATACTTCGAAAGCGTATCGAGGATAGGAAGTTGAGGGTTTGAAGCGGAGACAAGACCGAGCGCTAAGGGCACACTTTTACGAATGACGGGGTCACCGTAGTGCATCTACGATGGAGTTTGCTTAGATGGGTCTGACATAAGGAACAGAATAATACATACTAAATGGTTGAACTGTCGAAGAGACATTTCCGCACCAATATCCTCGCCCATGGCCACGAGCGCAATCCCGAGTACTGCGAACGCTTGGAACGTGTCATCTTGCTTGGTTTCCACCTTTTTATCACCTTCTTGCTCTGAATCTGTAACAGGATCTTTGACATTGAGGTGTTCGCCGCACTGCTGCAACATCGTCTGCACACGGAGAACATTGCCAGTCCCAGCGAAGGCGCACATCTCGACAAGAACCTGGATCTGTTTTGATGATTGATGAGGAATCGCTTTCAGTGTTTCGATTGTCGCATCGTACGAATCGCTCGCTTGTACACCTTTTTGGCGAAAGTTTAGCCCAACGCAGCAGAGATTTAAGGCATGACTAACCGACATAAAGTAGTGCGAGGCCCAACCCCAAAAAGCGTGTCCATTTCTCATCAAGTGCACGGTCCTCCCTTTCCATCAAAGTCTGGAGGATAACACCAGCAGCTTCCCCGTTTTCGCTTCCGACGAAGATAAGACCAACGGCGAGCGCAGCAAGTGCGACGATCTCCATGCTTATCTCGTCATCAGATACGAGAGGAAGTAACATGAAAAGGATGTCCTCGCGATGAGAACCGGCGTAGGCGAAACCCAGGCCAATGATAGCGGATGTCCGCAGTGGAACGGACTTATTGGTTATGTGATCGCCGAGAAGCGCTAACACAGCGTCGGCTTCGGAACGGACGCCAGTGTTAAGGATACCGGTGGCAAGAAAAGCACCAGCCTGCAAGTCGTGAGTTAGGAGGGGAGCCGGGTATTAAGATGAAAATGCAAGCCTTGATATACTCCTCGGAGGAGTAAGTGTATTTGTCTACATGGCTCAAACCTATTTCGGTATCCCACAGTAAGCTGAGACCAAGACTCGCAGCCGCAGACAACATTCCTGTCGGCAAGGTGTCAAGACACCTATTTCGTATCAACGTCGGCAATGAATTCCTTACCGTGATCTTTGTTCTTATAAATCCAACTGTTACCCTCTTCCGCCTCAACCATGAGCTTGTCATTTCCGAATCCTGCGTTGACGAATGCATTGACGAAGGTGCCAGCTAAATTACCCCGTGCCGAGTCAACGCTCGCGGTTGATGATCCTTATAGGGGAAAGAGACTGTAAGCCATGCGTAATGGGATAACATTAGACATACGCGAAGTCTCTAAGTGGGATTTATAAACGTCCTCCAAGCTCTTTGGGTCCAAAACGCCAAGCTCCTTTCCGAACTGTTTAAAATGGGTGCTCAGGCGCGAGTTGAATAAAATTTCTTGTAAATCTTCAGGTAGCTCCTCCAGCGTCTCGTCCCCATCGTCATCGGTGGTTGAGTGTTGAAGCCAATGATATGGAACTTGCGCCCGGGCGAGGATAAAGGCAAGTTGACGCTTCATCTGCCTGTTTAACTGTCAGTGGTGAGATGCCTTTCTCATCTTATATACGCTTACGGGTTGCCGGGAGTATGAAAGTCCTTCCGGATGAGTTCTGAGTCATTGAGCCGAATAGCCAACGAAAGTGCCTCAGGGAACCGTTGGTGCTTCTCGTAGATCATATGCGCCGTCTTCAAGAATGCTATGTCGTCCTGTGGAGGAAGCAAGTTCACACATCTGACATAGCCGGTCAGAAGTATAGATATCGGGATGCAAGGAGCTACCTACGCAATCATATATGCAGCGACGCGATTGAAAGTGTTTGCGTCCACGAGGTCGACAATCCGATCTATGATTTCCATCTCTTCTAATAGGTCAACTGCGTCCGGCTCTGCGTTGTGCTTGAGTAAAAACTTTGCGCAGACCAGCGCAAGATTGTGGAGGTCCTCTAATGTTCCGGCAGGAAGCGGTATTTGAGGTGTCACCTTCTTGCCTTTCTCTTCGTCTGTCGCGCTGATCTCGGACCCGGCAGCATCTGACTGTGCTATGGATTTTGTTGCCTCTGTCTGTTCGCGAAGATTGTACTCTTCGCCGAGTTCAGCAGCCAGATGTCGGACGTACTCGTGCCCCCAGTCCCCAGGGTCTGCGAGCGGGGATGTTGGAGGGCGCATTGAGGCTGCAAGCAGGCGGTAGCGTAGTGTACCACGAGGTTCGGTATCAGAGTATGTCATAGCAAGGACTGAGAGTATGTCTGCAAAGAGACTCTGTTCACCGGCGATTGGGTCAGTCATTCAATCGCAGGCAACACTGAATGGGGACCTTGTCTTCTGAAGAGGACCAAAGCTCGTACAAACGTTGTAGTTCAGGATAATAAGGTCGAAGAAATTTCAAAGGCTTCGGAACAGAGGTCATGGATGAAGTAGATGTCCGTATGAGGGTTCGAAGTGTCTCAAGGGCAGGACGGTATAAGGTGGTATCCGGTTCCTGTGGATACTCAGTCGAGTGGCCCCAGAACGTGAGAGATGGTGCACACCTTCAGTCGTTCCACCAGCATTTCCAGCTCCCCCCGGAGTTGTAGATCCTCTTCAGACTAACCATTATATTAACATGGCGGTCATGTTAAGCACGTCTGCGACGTACCAACTCCTCCCCTTCTTTCTCATCGGGTTTCTTCTTGGAAACAGCACCATTCTTCTCGCTATCTTCTTTTTTTGTTGGATCCTTCGATGGGACAGCGATGGCTGCTTTGGTAGGTTCGGGCATAGTGAATGAACGGATAAGGATAAGTGAACGCGCGTCCGAGTCCGTGTCGAATCGCCTGAGCGCGACGCGCAAGTCCCCGTGACACTGTCACGACAAGTCACAGATCTAGACAGAGTCGATAATTACATAATCAACATTTGGTCGTCTCATCAGTGGCGTAACAGATCAACAGCAACGGAGCATCTCGTATCACTCCTTCTCAAGTTATTATACTCTCCGCAACAACCGGCACTCTTACCAACGCGCTCATGCGCTGACTCAATCCTTTTTACTTTTTTTTTTTTTCACTCCTTCAAGCTGCTTGGCCGCATCTCTTTCTACGCAACATGGCTATGGTTTGCCCACTCTCCCCTGTACCACACAGTGTTTCTAACCTTCTGAGGCAGGCAACCTCTCCACCTTCCTCTCCACCCGTCTCTCCACCTGGTCTTCTTCAGTCATCGTCTTCTCCCACAACCGATCCTCCCACCAATAAATCTCAGCCTTCTCACACCCCACCACGCGGGCGGTCACGATACCCTTCCGGTCTTGCTCATGGTGGGCCGCGGGTTCCTCTGCATCGTCGTGGGACTTCCAAGACATACGAATGCCTTGAAGACCTTCTTCAAGAAGCGGGGTATAAAGAGACACGTGTTTTTACCCCTGAGACTGAGCGGCGTCGAGAACGCGAACTCGGGCAGGAAGAAAGACGGCGGATAGAAAGCCCGGTAAGGAGCGGCATGGATACAGTGGTGGGATTTTTGGCAGGACTCGTATTGGGACAGTCCGACGGTCAGCGCGCAGATGC